CAGTATTAATCATATCGTTATATTGTAAGACGTGACTGAAGTAGCGGTTTGCTGTATGGAACAGATGAATGGAAACGCGCTTTAAGTTTAGTTTCTCCCGCACTTCGGCGTGCCTTGCAGGTCCGTGAAGGCCTCCTGTCATATTTGCATGAACAAGCAATTAACTGTTGAGCTATCATGAGTAAATGGAGTGTACCTGCAAACTAGAGAAACAACCAACCTTTGTAGTGCTAATCGCTTGTCCTTACTGATTAGGAGAGGTGTTCTCGTGATGTAAAGACATCTAGTGTAGTTGTCATTCAGCCGGTCACGGTGCTGTCTTCGCTCGCTTGGAAACCGGGATCGTGGGTTCGAATCCCACTCAGGGTACGGATGTTTAGTTTGTGTGTGTGCGTTTTTCTGTGTTTGTGTACAGGTAGAGGCCTTGCGACAAGCTGATCACCCGCCCAAGGAGTCCTACCGAATGTGTAAGATCTAGAAAAACCGAAGTGAACGGAGAAGTTCATGGAGGTAGGCCTAGGCCCACTGGGGCTGTAGGGTCATGGAAAAAGAAAAGTTGTAATTCAAAGGTGTCATTAATCGATTATGTGTGTCATTAATCGATTATGTGTCTCATGTTAAAGGGATTTCAGCAGTGTCAGGTAAATTGGTAAATCCCAAGGGGTTTAATTATGCTTTGAAGAAATTATAAGTATGTATAGATTTATTTACATATTCCTGTATCTTGTATTATGGCAGCTACTATAAATTAGAGGAGTTATATTTAGTTTCGTGATTTTATTGTATTTTTTTTTTCGAATAATGTTGTTAACTTAAATTCATAATATTGCTTTCTCTCTTGTCCCCCCCCCCTAATCTGTCCATATGCGTGTTTCGTGCCTAAAACTACCGAAGGGATTTTGTGAAATTTAGTATTGTAAGTTTACGCTAAACAGAGCAGACCAATAATTACCCGCCGCATCCATTTAATATTTTTAATTTTTAATCTTTAAAATCTTTTAATCTTTCCAGTCACAACTTTTAATTTTAATTGCATAAATCGAAATGTCAGTAATTTAATCTCTACTAAAATATGGATCCATATTTAATGATTTGACACAGTTCTTGGATTTATGCTATTGGTTATGTATTGTCTGAGGATGACCTAAATAAGAAAAGTCGAAACATGTCGCATTAAGAACTGCACAAATTAAGAAATGTCGATATGATAGTATCTATTTTGTCTTACTGAATTCTTTTTGTGTTGACTGCCCTATTTGAAAATATGTACTACCCCCCCCNCCCCCCCCCCCCATTTTCAGGATCGAACAATAAACCAGGCAAGCCTATTCTTGCTTGCTCAGCTTAACTCTTCATTCCTTATGTATAAAGGCAGTACGCTCCTCCGAAACGTCTGCAAGTTCTACCAAGCTACACTACTTCACATCCAACAGTAGAGCATCATTCATAGTCCCTGCAATTTAAGTTGCTTTCTGATATTTTACTCTAGGACGTGAAGGAGACTGCTCAAAATATCGTCAGTGAAGTCAGTCTCGCAACCGAGATTTGAACCAAATGCTTGTTTCAAAAAAAAAACCTGAATGATGATTGTGTTGCTGGAGATTGTGATCTCACTTTTTTAGCCTGAGGAGAATCAAGTAGAAAGTTCTGGAGTTTCTATACTCAGGCTTCAGGAATGCGAAATTTAAGCCTGGCGTTAGAATTTGCTGCTGAAATAGCACGCAATCGAGTCCGCAATGGTGACCATATTCACGGAACCGATAAGAACATTTCTTTGTAGCCCCGTAACTTCATATACTGAACTGAAAACTTCAGTTGCCAATGAAATATGGAGGGCAATTTGCCTGCCCAGGAAATATGATCGAGTTCCCCCTTAGGATTCACTGTGTGGGTCGATAGATAGGGGGGAAGTTCCCAGTGCTGACGCCAAAAACTTTGCTGGGGCACGCGAGAAAATTATCGAGAGTACGAAGCGGATTGAGTCCATGGCGATGCTGCTATCTTGCTTATTACGGATTCTGTGCACTGCAGGAAACGACGACTATGCCTGAATGATATGAAGAGAGGACGGTATATTGTGCGAAACATGACGTCGGTTCATATATTGAACAAAGAAAAGATAGACATACGTTTCTCGGAAAGCATAAAAAAGAGTTTCACTGAAAGAAATACTTGGTTTTAAACGAATAGTGCAATAGGATTTGAGGTTCACACAGCGATGATTATGAAGAGTTCCAGCTTTAGGATATAACGCGGTGTTACACGTTGAAAGTCGACAGACGTTTCGGAGGAACATATCATCTCAGTGTTGAAGAGTAAGCCAAGCAAGAATGCTACAAGTTTCATACTAGTTTCTCTTGTTTTGTAATTTTTTCAACCCGAGAGATGCAGGCTACATATTCCTCCGAAACGTCGATCGACTTTCAACTGATTACATGGCGTTATATACCACAAGGTATAAGTCTTTTTAATAATATAATGCTGTGTTATATTTTAAGGGAAAATAGATGTTTGCGTGTGGGAAAACACGAATTGATAGCTGACACTATCCCCACACACCATCACACAGACACGTTATTCTTCAAAGAGGAGTAGACGCAGCAACTACTAAGATCATTCCGCGTGTACTGTGAAAGCTGAAAACATCAGAAAGATTTTCGGACGTTAGTTGCCGTTGTCGCTGGTTCATTGAAGCCGCAATGTGTCCCTAAACGAAGACCAAACGGTCAAGGTAAATCAGTTCAACTCACCGCTTGTCTCTCCTTGTCCTGTTTGGAGGATAGCAGTCTACACATAAACTACGTATACAAGAAAAGAAATCCAGTCTAGAAAACCGAAATTAACGGCCGTGAGGATTCGTTTCGCTAACCACGCGACACCCTCTATCCGCTAAAGTTAGCACTAGCTTCGCTGACAAGCGGCGGTCGCTGGGTCGGTATGGTTGGCTTGCGGACTGAAGCCACGAAGTAGTACAAGAAAAGAAATGAAACTACTTTTACATCAGAGATAAGTCTTTGGACGTGTTCAGTAATTTGAATTATCAACATTACCATATTGGTTGGTTATAGCTGTTGAGCTCTCAGTAATCAGTCATGTATGTTCGTTTGTTTACAGTTAATTAAACGGGGCTTATCGCTTATGTCATCACAGTAAGATATAATCGTGATTTAAAGTATGGCAGCATTGTTGTATAACTTCATCTATTATATCCTGCAATTGTTGACTTCTGTTTTAACTGGCCTTAGAATTTGCTTCCAGAATTGCCAGTTATTGCCATTTCGCATAATTGTGCCTCTGAGAAGGAAGCCAGTTTCGCGTGTGTGTTCTTCCGCACTATAGTTCACGTATTAAATCAATGCTAGATGCATTAGTGAACGGATATTCACCAAATTTGGTACATAAATCATGCCACTGAAAGTCACTCTGTTTTCGTGTTAAAATTTTCATTTTCTTTACGTCCACAAAATTATCATTAGAACATAATTACAATTTCTTAATGGCTTTAATTTTTTTTCCTTGGCACTACAGCCCCAGTGGGCCTAGGCCTACCTCCATGAACTTCTCCGTTTCACTTCGGTTTACTAGATCTTACACATTCGGTAGGACTCCTTGGGCGGCTGATCAGCTCGTCGCAAGGCCTCTACCTGTACACAAATACAGAAGAACGCACACACAAACTAAACATCCATGCCCTGAATGGGATTCGAACCCACGATCCCGGTTTCCAAGCGAGCGAAGACAGTACATGCCTCAGACCGCTCGGCTACCGTGACCGGCAATGGCTTTAATGGGGAAAGATAATTCAGTAAGATGACGAAATCACAGACAGAATAGCTGTACGAATTTGAACACGAAACTGTCCCAGATTACAGTGTTTCTGCTCGTCAGAAATGTCTTCAAATCACGATCACGGGTATAGAAATGGCTTAAAATCGTGGAAAAAACGTGGGTTTCGTAACGTTTCGCAACATCTACAGTTTTATTTCTCACTAAACAAAGTACAACACATTAAACAATTCAGTGTTGCTATCGAAATCTAGCACTGAATTGTTGTGGCAAGATGGTGGTAATGAAGCAAGGTCTTATGTAACATTTGAGGTTTTCACGGCGATGACTATGAAGAATTCCGTCTTCTGGGATGCCATGTAGACTGTAGCCACCTGCTCACTCTGGTTCCTCGCTCGCGGATTTCTTATGCCCTGAAGATGGAGGCGATATGTTCCTCCGAATCGTCGGGTAACACAATATGTACACGGCACCACATCCCATAAGACGACATTCTTCAAGTATGTGACTTCTAAGTTTTTCTTTCTAAGTTTTTATTTAACGACGTTATCAGCATGGATATGAATATAAGATATTGGTGGGAAAGCCAGAAGGAAAGAGAGCACTGGGAAGACCAAGGCTTATATGGGTGAACAGTATTAAAATGGATCTTAGAGCGATAGGATAGGATAGTATGGATTGAATTAATCTGGCTCAGTATAGACACCAGTGGAGGTCTCTTGTGAACACGGTAATAAATCTCCGGGTTCCATAATTTGCTGAGATGCTACTTGAGTAGCTACACAGTTGGCGGCTTCTCAAGAAGGGCTCAGCTCCATGAAGTTAGTTAGTTAGTTAGTTAGTTAGTTAGTTAGTTAGTTAGTTAGTTAGTTAGTAGGCATATATTTTCTTTCGGTAGATCAAATACAAGCTACAGCTCGCCGGTGGTTTCTCCACTGTGCCACTCTGACGGGAAACAGACAGGCCTTGTTTACAGCCTGCATCTTACTAATTAAGTCTTCGGCTTGCTCTCCGACCCTAAAAATATAAATACGCTCATCCGAAACGTCAGTGAACTTCTATCCAACTACATGTGGTTACAGCACAGAGTAGATGATATTCCTCTTAATCATCACTCTGGGAACATGAACTCAAAGGAAACTTCTTAATTTGTTGATGTGTTGTTACTGTAGTGTTTCTGAATAGTGAAAATGTCACATTTTTGGTTGTTACAGGCAATGGGGGCAACTCCGCGACCTTTGACCTGTTCGATTCCGAGAGTGGTCAAGACCTCACGCTGTCCCCGCAGACATTCACCAGCTCTACCGAGGCTTTCATCAATGACAACTCTGACAGCCTTGGCGTGCCTGGAGACGCCGACACAGGTAGGCTGCGTCATCACGCATCGGGCTTATGGGGCACCTCCGTCTTTTCAGAAAATAAATTTCGCCAGACCTCATGGTTGACGTGTGGCCACGCCTTCTTTGTATTCGGTATATCCCGTCGTCTAGCCTCTGCCCAGAAGTCTGTACGAGGATGTCCTTAGGTTTCCTCAGTCCCTCCAAGGAAATTCTGGGATAGTACCTCATTATAGTCCGCGCCGTCTTATTTAGCATATTCTGCAATTCATCATTCACATATCCTGACTTTCGACGGTTCAATTAAATATTTATCCTTATAAAATGCATTCTACAAAGCAACAGTTCCTGTTTCCAAATATACTATGTACGTATTTTGGATAACTAGTGTGACATGACGTCTGAAAATGGTACCAGAGTAGATCTTCACTGCTAGGCAACGGCTCGGTTAACATATTCCCGCGGCAACAATACACCAACAACAATGGACGGATTCTTAGGAAACGATGTTTTCTGTTGGGTCCGCCCTGAAATTATATAAGGAGGATCCCAGTCTAATTTTGAATTAGTTGAGGATTGGACAGAAACTGGGGAGTCTACATTGTTGTCGGATCCACACCAGGCAGCACAAGGTGAAGGTTGTGAAGACATGGCGTGTGCTAGTGATTTGTAAAGTGTGTAGGTCAGCGATAGCGTTGTAATTCGGAGTTGTGTAAATAAATCCAATATCCAATTCAAATACCGTCGAATAGTCACACCCCAAATACGTTGATCCTATTATTAAGGAATAAGGAGGAATAAACTTTGTTACGCCCAGATCAGTCATCCCCTTACTATTCCTTACCCGTGCTATAGCCTGGGTTTTAATTGTACGGAACAGCCAAATTTTGCTAATTTTTCATGATCAGATCTGTATCTTTTTCGCTGAATGATTGTCTAGCCTCTGCAGTTAAAAGAATATTTATATTGTCACATGTAGGGATTTGCGAGTGACTTATCTGTTCTGACTTCACTGTTCCGGCTTTCGGGCGTCGTTTCAAAATATATAACCTAAGAATCAATCAATTATGCAAATTATCACATCTAGTAAAATTTTAATTTTAATTACAGAACAGTGTACCACATGATTTAAGACGCATTCAGATGTTTCATTTTATTCTCAAAATAATCAGCAATTATTCTTTTAAACAGCATTAAACCATTGGCCTTCGTAATAGAGACGCAGTGTGTTTTCTATATGATATGAACTGAATTTCTAAATATTATTTAGATGAATTTCAGGCTTCAAATGGTTAATGTGAAACGTTTTCTGCCTCTAAATCTGAACGGATTATGTTTCCAATTTATCAGCTTTATTTTAAGTTGGAAAGATTATATTTAGAAAATTCATTTACCGATTTGAGTGGCGTCAACAAAGGCATTGAAGTGTCCAGAAAGTGAAGTTTCTTAGGTACATCATTGGTCTGCTTGGAATTCTGATTATGCTGGTCAGCTCAATCTCTCTGTGGGTGTCTTCTTTTTTCTCGCTACTGGCCGTGGCGATGGTGGTATTGGATAAGGGAACGGTTTATTTCCGGTGCAGTAGGATCAAGGAGGGAACTGCATCATTAGTCCCTAGACGCGCTGGGAATCCCAACCGAAGTCAGTTTATTGAATTGCTCCTGGGGGCAAGGATCCTTCTTTCTTCCATGCTTTGACCTCCCACATCTTCTGTTCCAAATGCTAGTGTGAAAGATATTAGTGAAGGTACACCACTTAGCGATAAACATTATACCGCCATGTTTGATGTGTGGATAAAAAAAAAAGTAGGAGTCTAAATTACGTTCCTTGTAATTCTCACAATGTTTCGTTTCCACTTTTTCTGTTTTATAGGTAGAGATAATATGACGTACCTTGCGAAATAAAATTCCTAACCGGATGCCATAAAATTTATACTTTCGAAACGTGATAGGTGCAGCAAATCCGTACACTTGCGGTTGCTGCAATAGTACTGATTGCTTTGCAGGATGGTATAAAACATCTTCCCATTATTGTTCAGTTTAATTTGGAATATCGCTTTCCCAATCCCAGTACGCACGATAATAAAACGGGATTATTCTAGTGGTGAAAACATCCTGATCGGAATTCGTAGATCTGCCCTTAAAATCGGAAGTAACCTAATCTCTTCTCACTTGGCTCACGTTAGCTTGCTAGCAGTGGGTTTCAATATGCAATAGTTCATTTCCATAAATCCACAGTAAATTAATATCAGGATCAATAAGAGATACATAATTTCAAAGAGCTATAAGACTAAAGTTATCCCTGTAATAAGCCGTGGAGGGATGATAAGGTTGTGAGACGTCGAGGTTCCCACGTTTAGAGACAATCGGCTCATAGATGGTGGTGAGGATATCAGCATTACTGGCCGACCGCCTTTTTCCCCCAGGAAGATTCCTGGTATTCATTTCTGTTAGAGGCTAAGTAGACCCAGGTATATAGTGCGTGTGGAAGGATTGGGTCAACTGAAAAATCCAATGACATCATCGGGAATCGAACCCGCAACCTTCCGTCTCGTAGCCTAGTGCTTCAAGAAACTAAGCTACCGCATGACCCCAGTCTGAAAGAGCATATTTGGAAAAAATATGTACCGCTCCTCCGTATTCGAGGGCGCCTTCCTATCATGGCTTCCAGATACTGAAAGAAACATAGAATTTGTGTCTCAAGAAGCTCTTTTATATGAATATTTTTCATCCTAATTACGACAGGGCCGGTCACGGTAGCCGAGCGGTCTAAGGCATGTACTGTCTTCTCTCGCTTGGAAACCGGGATCGTGGGTTCGAATCCCACTCAGGGCATAGATGTTTAGTTTGTGTGTGTTCATTTTTCTGTGTTTGTGTACAGGTAGAGGCCTTGCGACGAGCTGATCACCCGCCCAAGGAGTCCTACCGAATGTGTAAGATCTAGAAACACCGAAGTGAACGGAGAAGTTCATGGAGGTAGGCTTAGGCCCACTGGGGCTGTAGTCCCAAGGAAAAAAAATACGACAGGTGAAGATAGAGAGACTTACTGACAGATCTACCTACCGACAGATGTAAACTAGCGTTTACATCTCATTATCGGCGAACTGTGATAACATCATGTCACACAGTGTAATTACAATTTTAATGTCATATATAGCATGTTTTCCATTTTTATCTTCTTCGCAAGTTTCTGATAACTAGATAAATAATATACTCGTAATAGTTGACGGTTTGTGATTGAAGTCGTCGGCTTCCCTCCGCGGTCCCGGTTCGATCCCACGCAGCTTATATGGGATTTGAGGTGGAAAAACTGGCACCTTCAATAGGTTTAACCAAGTACTTCGGTTTCCCCTACCAATTCTCATTTCACGAACTGTTTCATGTTCATTAACCATCCTATCATGAACGGTATATAATCTCGATACTGAAAACGTCGTTAAAGAAGAAGCATAAAATAAATGACTGCATGTTCTTGTCATTTTCTCTTACCGCTTCCATTTCACACCATGATAGTTCCATATACATGTACAGATGGCAGCTCTTATGTATGAAACGGTGCCATCTGGAGGACATATATGTAACTTAATTCACTGCTTTAACGCAGGAAAGAAGGGACGAGATAAAGGTATTAAAGGCATAAATGAAAGGAAGGAGAGATAAAGAAGGATGATGATAGCAACGAAGTGATCGTACATTGAATTTCAACGGGCCTTTTCACCAGGAAACAATAATTTTGCTTTAATCGACAGTTTTGTCTCATAGCTTACATGAAGATTACTGTTATGATGAAATTAAATGAAGCAATTTCTCTGCCTGAATTCTAGCCATTCAGCACTTAATGCTCTAACCTACAGGATCAAACCTGTAGAAACTCTGTATTTTAAATCAGTGTACTTGGAGGATCCATAAGCGGCAGCAGGAAATGTACACATTATTTTAAACTATGCGCATTTGTTTTCGGTTTCCAGGAATTTCTGTTTCGATATTTCATTCACTAAGCTGATTTATAAACAGGCAAAACATGCCTCAGCGCTTTCAGCATAATAACAGAACTGGTTCGTTTTTAAATATAAATAAATTAAATATTGTTACCTGATGGAGGAGGCAAAAACAAGTTTAGTGATTTCCACAAGACTTGACGTTTATGCGATATTCAAATAACAATTCCAAATTGTAATTAGCGTCCTTTCACACTGTGTTAATCCCTCCCCCTTTTTACGTTTCATAGACAGAACTATTATATTTGCTACTGCAAGTGCAACAACATCTTATACATATTTCGTAGAACCCAAGGTAAATGAACTTAAAATCCCTTTTCATCATCAGAAGCTACGACATGTTTGTCTCTTTTCTTTCATTTCATTTGGTTCTTTCCATCAACTTCTCTCTTTCCCTTCGAGGCTTCCACGCCGGTGACTATGAACCTGTCGTTTAGGATGTGAGACCGTGTAGGATTACTGCTTGGGGCACTCAGTAGCGTAGTTGGTTGAGACAATATGCTATAAGCTACAAGGTTAAGGTTTAGATTACAAATCAGGCCATTGGATTTTTCAATTGACCTAATCCTTCCACTCGCGCTATGGCCCTGAGGTCAACTCAGCTTCTAACAGAAATGAGTACCAGATATGTTCCTGGGGGTAAAAAGCGGCCGGCACGTAAGTCTGACAACCTCACCGCCATCTGTGAGCCGACTGTGTAGGGAGTGTGGCAGCCTCGACGTCTCACAATCCTATGGGCTTCCACGTAATATTACAAAGATAGTTTTACCCCTTTTTTACTCGTGAATATATTGAATAAAAACCAAAAATGTGGGGGTCCTCTAAAGCAGTGGTTCTCAAACTTTGTGAGACGGCTGCCCGGCAAATTATTTTTTATAAGAGCAGGGTCATGTATAATTCTTGCCAGAACCCGGTCCCAGGCCACGGCCCCGCGGTTGAGAAACACTTCTCTAGATAAATGTTGGACGGACGGTGCTAATAACCCCTAGCAATGTTACAAAGGGCCTCTGATTTGGACGAATTCTTTGAC